GTTTTTTTGGTCGTATTGGACATCCGAGCGCATATTCCAGTTTGTTCTATAGGGGTGCAGCATCCTCTGAGCCCTTGGCTTGTCCGTGTCTAAACATGCAGATTTTTGACGTAACACTTTATTCCAATGTTGACTCTGCAGTGACGGACTTTCGATTAGATTACGTAGTACGGTGCCCGTCTCTCGGCCATGGTGTGTTTCGAATAACGACGTTTTAAACAATGCGTTTGGCAAAAACGTAGAGCAACAAGGGCCGTTTCAACCATCATTTCTAAAATTCTGTGGTTCTTCTCCTTCGCGTAAGTTAGAACGAAGTTCTTTATGGTTACTATGGTACGTTTGACGCACCCGGCGGCTCTTTGATCATTCACTGGTGAACAAATCGTTTCGATGCCCTCAGTAATACAAAATTATTTAACTACTTTCTAGGTAAAGCTAGACCCTTGGTCCATGTAAATCTTCCGAGGGACCCCAAGATTTGATATGTCACTGAAAATGATTTTCAGTACTTTGTCAGAGTCATTATTATTAGATATCATTGCCGATGGCTATCAAGAAAAACGGTTAATCCGATTCGTTTAGGTATTTTATAGATCCCCAGATGTCTAGTTGAACATCATCATTCGGTTCCTTTGGCACATACACAGTACCTGGTTCATTTTTACGGAAAAATTTTTTAAAAAGTTTTTACCTACCGCTGGGCAATCTAGGCACTCCTCGGCGGCGTCGACGTCAGGCGTTTGGATATGTTGAAATCATATATCCCTCGTCGCGTCAAACATATTGGACTTCCCCTGATGAAAACTCTGACTTCGGTTGACGATGAGTCGTCGAAATGAAATCGGGATGGTTAAACGTTTGCTCATCCAAAGGCACCAGCCCTTCACGTGGAACTCATTTGTGTACTGACCAAGGTAGCAGCCCCTGGCTCTCACCTTCTCTGCAAACTGTTAGTCTTTTTCCACCAGCATGTCTCAAATGGCCTCCAGCTGAGGATCTGCTTTGTAGTGTGCATCAACGCATTTGAGTCTCGAAAGTTAAACTTCTTCACCAACTTGCAACCTATCGGTATTACGCTCATGATGACATTCGCAGGGTAAATATGCGGGTAAATTTGCCACTAAATTTTGATGGAAATAATTTAATAGTATTGGTCTTTGCCTCTACCGTTCTTGTGGTTCTGGTCTCTAATCTTTCTTTGAAAACTTCGATTTCGCTGCCGGACTTAATCTTTGGATATTTTGCGAGAAATTCATTCAATTTTTGAAAGATATATATTCATAATTGGAAAATAGGGAAAGTTCATGTGCCTACTTAGCTCACATTCAGTATTGACGCCAGCTGTTTTGTTTTCTCGTTTTTTCTGTTTTCGTCCCTCGACAAGCGTTCGGGTCGGCTGTCGTTTTACCGCATGCAGGGGAGCCCTAATCCGGTGGCAATTGATTCTTGTATTTGCATGCTGCAATTTGATTGAGTGAAACCGGGATGTCTCTATTATTCGTAGTCATTGGATTTAATGCTTAAGAAGAAAAAAGCCAGGATATTTGATAATTGATGTAATTTTTGCTACCGTAAAATGTTATAATTACTTCTTATTCTCTGGGCTTCCCCAACCGAATGTTTTGAAAGGTAGTCAGCAATCGGAGTTTTGCCCGCGGCATGTGCTCGATTTCAAAATCAAACGGAATGATCCAATTTATCTTCCAGTTAACCGACCAAACGTCGTTTTGTTTTTCTTGTTAATTTCATTAGGCAGTCTAACTGGCGTCGCATACGATACGAATGTCTTTGTGTACGTCAAAAGGTTTCAGTTCGCTACTTAGTTTTTGAGAGCTTGAAATGCTAGTTGGCACTCGGCTGACCATACGAATTTGTTTTTTTTCCACTAAGAAGCGGCTGTAGTGACGCCGAAGTTTTGATAACAGCCGACAAACCTTTGTGAAGGCTATGTATTGGGCCCATGAAAGGTTTTAATTGCAATAACCTTTGTGGCCGTTGTAGATTATCGATTGGAGCCGTTTTTTGGACCGACGGTGTAGTAACCAAGGCTGTTATTTAATACCCCAAAGATTCGCATTCTAATTTTGCAAAATGGCACTTTTGTAGCTTAACCGCTATGTTTTCACTATCCAGCTTTTAAACTATTTTCTGAACAAGGGCAATGTCCTCAATTTCTGTGCTTTTAAGAACAATAATATCATTGATGAACGCATGACCGTTGAGGAAATCGGTTATTATGGAATTCATTACACGTTGGAATTCCGCTGGCATCGTAGTGAGTCCGTAGAAACCTATCTTGAATCAGTCAGTGCCAGTGGATTTGCCCCACACCATGTAGAAATAACAGTGCTTACTTGTCTCCTTACTTCATGGTAACTGTCCATAGGCATAGGTTAAATACATGATTGTAAACTAGACCGTACCCGAATTTTGTTTGCTAATTGCTTGTCCTGCCGTATCCATTAATTCCTCAATGTTCGGCATTTGGTTGTTTTTTGATGTATCTCTTTGCTTAGTTACCGTGATTCAAGCGCTAATTTTACCAAACCGTCCTTCCTTTTTGACTAAAATAACAATAGGCCATACAAAGTGTTTATCCGAACACTCTTAGTTTTTTTGGATATGCCCCTGGCTTAGTAAAATTTCATTTTCTTTATCGACATTATCCCGGAGCGTGATATGAACGCGTCTGCTTCTCTGTTGCACAGGCGTTAAAGTTTTGAAGAAATCTGCTTGTACATTATAGTTGCAGCTTCGCCCTACCCTTTTCAACAAATCATAAATTTGCTTACTGAAATGCATCAAATTGCATCAAACCCCGACCAATTATTGGCGGGCGGTATCCCCCCATCACAAAGATATACGTCTCCGCCGACCATCCATTTCACGTCAGCTTCGCCTTCACCTTCGCCATGAACTTCGACGGGTTGTGTCCCGTAATCACAAAACTGTTCATCCTTCGACCCCTAAGGGTAGTTTCTTACTGTTTGCCCCAGTGTCGTTTTGAGCTCACCAATGGTGAAGATTGAAAAAGGCGACCCACTATCGATCCACGACGTCATTGATTTTTGTTAATTTTTATCGGCAATCGTACTCCCGCTACTTGGAATTCCTCCTTCTTTTTTTCGGTTCGACAAGACGATGATATTGTCGGAACTATCAAAATCCCATCCGGGGATTGTGGATGGCGGTCATCAACCCATCCAACTGAGTAATTGTGTTGGGATGAAACGTCATCGTGCTCCGCCTGTTGATCCTCTATTCCGGTATCGCTGTCGATGAGACTGACCCGTCCTCTGTGGGCGCCTCGCTTCCGCGGCATGCTCTTTCATAATGTTCTGTTTTCTTAGTATAAAAGAAAAGATGCATGTAGCATTTCGAACCTGGCACTTTGAAATACGATCCGTCTCGAAGTATGCCTGATCACCGTTGAAGCATCGCCTCTAGCGCCGCCCTTGCGTTTCCTCGAAAGGATCCTCTCATGCCCCGCTGAAATGGCCATCGGCATCCCCCTCGGATAGAACTAATCGGTTCAGCTTTATTTGTAATGCTCCCGCTGGGGCCGGTGTTTTCCCTTGCCTGTAACTTTATTACTTTTGGCATACTTATCTCCCTTTTCGTACGAATTCGTGTATACTTCGTCGGGCGTATTGGTTGATCGGTAAAACTCTGTTTGTGCTTTCTTGTTGGTCATGTTTCTTACAAAGACATCCCATAAGATCCGACATCGAGCCGTGAGTCCTCTCAATACAGAGTGAAATTGTTCAAGGGATTCTCCCTCCCCCAGCTTACGCGACAACAACTGCTAAGTTTCGAATGTCTCGTTTCTCTCATTTGAAAGACGTCATGAAATTCGTCTAGTATCCGAGGTTACTGATAGTAACAAAATCCAGTTGCAGCAAGTTGTGGAGCTAGTCTTGACCGCATTCCCCAAGACATAATTACACGTTTGAGATGAGCATTTGTTCCGCTTCTACACGATTCCTGTTCAATACATCCGCCGGTAGCGCCGCGACATTCGCTGTCGTCACCGTCTTTGCAAAGTAGAATGACACCGTCTTCAAGTAATGCTTCGCGATTACATCCCAGAGCGAACCAAAATTCCCACAGCATTAGAGGCTCGGCGCATTTGCTCGGTCAAGTAAGCCGTAATTCGCTACGGCTTTTTCCCTCCCCCAACGCCGTTTGCTGCTGTCTGCGCGATGTGAAAAACGATGATCCAGTAATGTAAAATCCGAATGTGAAGTTATTCAAATCATGTTATGTTATTCAAACGCAAAGGTCAACTGTTTCAGCACCACTGGATTTGGACATTGCCATTGGCAGGTATCAATCAACTGACCATCAAGATCAATGCCAAGAACGGACTATAAACTAAAATAATCATAACTTAAATATGTATATTTGACAGTTGGTTTTAACAAACTGAAATATTGGCTTGTTACAAGTTTGTAACTTTTGTGGCTAAAAAAATAAACGTATCACTACTTCTAGGTTTTCAACATATTTGGCGAATTCTTTTCTGAACAAACGCTCAAAGTTTCTACTACACTGAGGTCTACACTTTCTGTTATCAGCACCACAAATTTAAATACTATGTAGCATTTTTGGTGTTCTTCCAAGATGTCATTTTTAAATTGTTTTGATTTATGTAAATAAAAACCGAGTCTATTCCCTTCCTGAAAACGAATTTAATATCTATTATTATTTTAGTTTTTTGTGCAATCAGTCTGGAAATTTGTTTAATTGATGGATAAACATCGCAATTTATAATCATCTTTCTTACATTTTTCATTTAATATCCAGGTTGCTTGCCTAACCGATGAACAAATTCTGTGAAATGATCAGAGTCGAAAGGCAGTAAATTTCAAAAACAATTTGAGATAAATTGTTTTGACAGTTTCTGAATTTCGATTAAGGTTTTTCGAACTTTCCTGACTTCTTGACGTCTTGATTGCTCGAATAATTTCCGTTTTACTCTTCTTATTTGGAAAACTAAGTAAAACATAAAGTCTTTGCTGCCGTTTTAAATTTTTTGCCATAAACTTTATAACCAAAAAAAATCTATGGCAAAAATCTAAAATCTATTAGTATCAATTAAAGTTTCAATATGGCGAATTATCAACTTAGCAAGCACTTTCGGTGCACAATCGAGGGTCCAGACTCATCGTACTCCTTCTTGCTGATCCACATCTGCGGGAAGGTAGGCAGAGAAGCCAATATCGATCCTCCGATCCAGGCCGAGACCTTCCCTTCGGGAGGAGCGATGATCTTAATCTTCGTGGTTGGTGGAGCCAGGGCGGTTATCTCCTTTTGCATTCAGTCGGCGAACCCAGGGAACATAGTAGTACCTCCAGACAACACGATGTTGGCGTAGAGATCTTTTCGGAGGTCGACATTGCACTTCATGATTGAGTTGTACATTGTCTCGTGAACTCCTGCAGATTCCAATCCGATGAAGGCGGGTTGGAAGAGGGCTTCAGGGCATCGGAATCGCTCGTTGCCTATTGTGATCACCTGGCCGTCGGGAAGCTCGTACGTCTTCTCGAGGCTGGAGCTGGAAGCAGCTGTTTGCATTTCCTGCTCGAAATCGAGTGCAGTATAGGCCAGCTTCTCCTTGATGTCTTGCATGACTTCTCGCTCATTGTGGCCGGAGTAATAGTAGTCTCCACGCTCATCCATGATCTTTCTCAAGTAGTCTAAATAATTTAATCTTTGTATTCAATGCGGCAGATGCAAGATTATAGTTGAATCCCAACTTTTTGTTGTTTTTTTTGGGTTCTTTATATTCAAAAACAGTTTTGCTTATCATTGATAATGAGTTTGACATACCTGTTAGATCTTGGCCGGCAACATCCAGTCGGGTGATGTCACAAGGCAGTGCGTATCCCTCGTAGATAGGCACTGTGTGGGAGACACCATGGCCAGAGTCCATCACGATTCCAGTTGTTCGCCCAGAGGAATACAGAGACAGGGCAGCTTGGATGGCCAAGTACATAGCTGGTGAATTGAAGGTTTCGAACATGATCTGAGTCATTTTTTCACTGTTTGCCTTCGGGTTCAAAGGTGCTTCAGTTAGGAGCACCGGGTGTTCCTCTGGAGCAACTCGGAGTTCGTTATCGAAGGTGTGGTGCCAGATCTTTTCCATGGCATCCCAGTTGGTCACGAGTCCGTCCTCAATCGGGTATTTGATAGTTAGGATTCCACGCTTGCTCCGCGCCTCGTCTCCGACGTACGAGTCTTTCTGTTTCATGCCGACCATGACTCCTTGATGACGGGGATATCCGACAATTGAAGGAAACACTGCTCGTGGTGCGTCATCGCCTGAAATTTCAAGACATTTTAGTGATTCAACACTCTTTGTAGATATGGCTTTCGAATTTGTTTTGAATCTTGAGTTACGAATCGGACTTTAAGAACTTACCAGCGAATCCGGCTTTGACCATTGCGGATCCGTTGTCAACGACAATAGCGGCAACATCTTCATCGCACATTCTTTGAATTGTTGTTTACTGAAAGATTTTCTAGCTTGCACAAAAGAAACTTTAATCTGTTTTAGAGCTGATCAATGGCACTAATGAAGTTGCAAAGTAAACAAGTGGCCGAACATGTACCGATGTTATGTTTTCGGTGACTTAATGCCACTTTCTTTTGAAAAGAAGCCGCAAGCCGTTCCTTTTATTGGGGGCTAGGTCTTTTACCAGTTCAACGTTTTACCAGACCGTATTTTAAGCAGACCGCAATGCAATAATTTTTTTAAAATACGTTTAAATTAAGGGGAAATTTAAAAAGGAAGCGATTAGAACGAACAAAAATTCGCTGTGAAACTTGCCTTTAACCAGACTAAACGATCTTTCAATCGAATTTGTTTATCGAGTCTGGTAAAAGATCCATGTTACAACTTTTCTGGTAAAAGGTCGGTCTGGTAAAAAGTCGGTCCCCTTTTATGGTAGTTCACTCGACTTTTTGCGAATGAACAAAATAACGTCTAAAATAAGTCTTGTTGCATACAGATTACACTTCTACGATAAAAGGCAAAAAATGCAATTCGAGAAGTGTTGTTAATAAAAAACAGTCCGTCATTAACAAAAAATAAAACCACAGTTCAATTTATGAATTAACTTACTTTATGCTATATTATATACAAATATTTTTTGTCATAAAATGTGTTATGAAAGTTTTCACATAAAATGTGTTCTAGGGCTAGTTGTTTAAACAGATAAAGTCATAGAATACGTTTTTTTTATCAGCCACTTTCATTTGTTACCTAGTCGATCGAGGAGGGTTATTTTGTAGGATCTTACAAGATTCAGGTTATCTTACAAGATCTTGCAAGAATGAGGTTATCTTGCCAAATTTTGCAAGAGTAAGGTTTTCTTGCAAGAATCTTGCAAAATAGCTACCTAATGAAATTTTTTCACAAAACTTTGTTCTGAGCGCCAGAAAAAACATTGGAGATCCAACAAGACTATGGTACACAAAGACTTTTGAGTTTAAGTTTGGATAAAAAATGAAGTTAAACAATGAATTTTTAAAATGTTCATAAAAATGCTCATTTTTCATGTTTTGTAATGTAAAATAGTCTCAAGTTGTCGCTATAATTTATGCATTTCAAATTATAGTTTTCGATAACATATTTCTTGGCTTTATTGGAATTTTTCATCTAGTTTTGAAACTCTAGCGGTTAAATTTCAACTTTTGTTATTTTTCTGAAAATTTTGATGAATACAGTCGTTTAGTTTGAGATATTTTGTATGTTGAGTTCACATAAATCTGGTAAATAATTATGCTTATCTTTTTATGAGGTTATATTTTTCTTTTTAAATTATTTTCTGATGATTTGTTCAAGTATTCGAATGTTTCTACTTGTTACAGATAATGATCCCTCCCTACTCATACGCTATAAATTGTCTTCTTGCGTAAACTTTTTTTTCCCAAAGTAATCATATTTTTGAAGATCTTCATTACGAGGCGCACAATTTTGTGTCTGCATGTTTCTGGATTCCAGAGACAAGTCTTTAAATTTGTTAAGTTTTTATACAGGTTAAATCATGTTAAAAACAAAGAACAAAAGAAGAACAAAGGGAGCGTCCTAGTTGCGGAAACAACTCACAAAACTCAAAATGTTGCTTGAATTAAGGTTATCTGTAAAGGCGGTTATCTTGCAAGATTTGAAGGAAAGTTTCGCAGATGCAACCCTACAAGTAGTGCATCTCATTTAACTTCTTCCAGCATACCTGGTTTGGAACTCAGTTGAGGCGAAGGATTTTGACTAAACCCTAGCGCTTCATTCCGAAATTCTTCAGGATTCAAACTTTGAATCTGAGCTTCAGTTTGAAAAAAAACACATGGTCCGTCAACGCTTTGCCTCCATTGACCTTTAAAGAAATTTTAGGCCAACCCTCAAAGACTTTAATGCCCACAGTGTACGCCCTTATGCAAAAAATTGCAAGCTTCACTGTCACTGTCTGCAAGGCTACACAATCCTTTCCCGCGATGAAACTGCTGAAAACATACTTGAGATCAGCGATGCGGGAAGACCCGCTATCATCGCTGGCTCTTTTGTATATCCATAAAAAATAAGTCCTTGACGTAGATGAAATCATCAAAAAACTCGGCTCCAAAAACCGACTTTTACAGTTTCTACAAATTGTTCATTGCACAGCATTTCAAAAATTGCCGACTTGTTACTTTCTGTATAAATTGTGTACCTTTATTTTTTTAATTCAGTTTTTTTTGAACTTTTTCTGCAGAAAAAATCAAACCGCCCCCCTCAAAAAATTTCAGCGCACGTCACTGCTTCCTTTCCTTGCTCAACTTGATGAGACCAACTTTGTTGATCTCTCTATTGCCAGAACTATTAATAGTAAATGAAATATTTACGGTCAAACTCTTGATAATTTAAGTTTTACCCATGCATTTTAACTGGAAGAAAATCCCAGTTTCAACAAAAAACTGATTGGGAGCTCTTTAACTACCCCTTTTAGTACCTAGCGAAGAATTACCATCCCTACATTCAACGGTTACGCATGATAGCATTTTCCACCTTGTAACGAATCTCCATCTTTTGCAAAGGGAGATATAGTTAAAACGATCCATTGATTGTACTTTTTTGCTATTGCCTTTAAACGTATCTGATTATGATTGGCATAAAGTATTTGTCTTTAAAGGTGTCTGATTTAGTTTGGCTAAATTAGTGAAACAAAAAAAAAATCAAAAAAATATGTTATCATTTGAAATTCTGAACATGCACAGTCAAATAAATAATGGTTAATTTTCACGTCTATATTTACACAACACTCAAACCAATTCTTTTTGTAATCAATTCGATATATTTCCACTGCACGTCAATGTGCTGGCTGAATTTTTTGGCAAAAATACTGGTTAGTTTTTCAAAAAGAAATATGTTTGGGCAATTTCGGATGGGCATTTTTTTGATAAAAATAACTCAATTTATAAAAATTTGATCAATCAGAAAAAAAAATTCATAATGTTTGTTTTTTGCTTCGATTGCTTTGAAGTTTGATCTTCTTTCAAATATGCTTGCTTACATTCCACTAGCTTTGTTTCTTAAATTAATGACTATTCCTTTTAAAAACGTTCAGTAATAATTTTTTTCGGGTTAAGGGAAAATTAGACTAATTTGTCGCTCTCTAATAAGCTAGCAGTCTTTGAAGGATCCTTTACATTATGATAAAACAAGCTTTAAAAAGTTTTCGCTTAAAAAAGAGTCAATAACAGTTCAGGTCGCAGACTTCGTCCAAATTCAGTGTTGACGGACTGGTTTCAATATTCCCAGTTCTTTGATCTCTATCGTGTATATTACTTCATCAGAGCTGGAAAGACTGCTAGATCGATTGTGGATGGATGACTGGCTGGCTGGGCGAATGGCAAAATGGATGGATGACTGGTTGGTTATCTGGATGCATGAATAAAATTACGGAAGGAATGGATGAATAGATGGATGACTGATCGATGGTGTGAATGATTGGATGGATGGACGGAAGCATGGACGGCTGACTGTATTACTTGCTGATAAAGACTGATTGAATGTATAGAGGAATGGATGGCTGATTGGTGGCTTGATAGATTGATGTACTGATGGATAGATGGTCTGATGGGTGCACAAACGAGTTGATGTGTGGATAGATGGATTGATGGGTTGACGGATTGATGGCTGGATGGATGATTAGATGCAAGTTTGGATGGATAGCTGGTATGGTGCACGGATAGCTGATGGATAGCTGGAATGACTGCTTGGATGAATGGCAGATATATGGATGGGAATATCAGACAGCCACCCAGCCAGCATATATCGTTGAGGTATCCATCCTTCCGACCTGATAGATAGATGGTTGGATGGCTGGAGGAAAGGATGAATAGCTCAACGGATTAATGGCTGGATGGCTGTCTGAAATATGGCTGGATGAATGTAGAGATGATGGCTGATATACGGCTAGGTAGATTGATGGGTGGACTAGTTGATGGCTAGATGGATGGCTTGATGGGTTGTCGGATGGGTTGATGACTGGATCGATGGATGAATGGCAGATAGTAGATGGCTGGACATTAAGAAGGATGGCTTGGTGGACTTAAATCACTGGTGTACGAAGTAACAAAAAATATATATTTTACCCAGAAACGAAACGGAGCTTCGCATCACTTCAAAGACAACTCGAGCCATCCCAAACCGGAAAGGACAAAAGAGATAAGCCTAACAAAATCGGAAAAAGTTTCCTAGAAACCAAACTTCAAAAATTTCAAAATGTTGTAGGGAACGATGTTCTGTTTGCTGAAAACACGCCCAGAAACACATTCGACGAGGCTGAGAAACACATTCGACATATTCTAAGATTTTACAGTTTTGTGCGGTCTCAAGGGAAGCATACAAACTCTAATTCCTCTGAAACGACCCAAAACTAGGCCAAATTTGCGATAAAAATAGCCAAAATCATTTGGGCTGAAGAAAAACAAAAAAAACAAGGGGGCGGAGCAAATATTAGATTGATCAAAGAGCAGAACAAGTCCTGGATTAGAAAAACGGAAAAATTCTAGCTTTTAAAAGCTAATCGGTAAAACCTGTATTAAAATTGTCCACTTCACCAAAGAAACGGACATAGAAGAAACGATGTGATTTCTCATTTAAAGTGACTGGCAGATATTCATTAAACTGCCATTTCTACAAACTGCCAGATCTTGAAGCCGAAATTACGTAAGAATAACGTAGATAAACACAGAGAGGCAACGCTTAGCTTCGCGGCCCTCGCGATACAAATATGAATGACTATGATTAGAATCAAATGGGAAAAAAACTTTAAAATACGTTCTCGCCATTGAAAATTGCAACTCTACAAAGAGTTTCTGGGAATTCTATGAAAAAGGTAATTTTTAAAAAATCCTTTCTGCGAAACTAAGCAGACAAAAAAGAGCAGACAGACAATAATTTAAACAAGCCAAAGTTTTCAATTTCAAAAAGAAAACAGGTTTCATCTGGATTCAAACTCCCGGAGTTTGGTCAAGCATGAATATTACAGCAATCTGGTATAAAACTGAACCAACTAGTTACGGGAACCAAAATGACAAAATAAACAGACGGACGATACTCCGGAGTATCACAAAAACTCTAGTTCACAAAAAAGGGCTCGGCCGGATTCGAATCTTTGCCATCTGAAGCTGTTATTTTACCTCTACGCCAGATGAGCCGGATGATTGATTGGATATGAGTTTTTAATTGCCAGGCGGTATCAAAGCCGAAATTAGCAGTGCAGAAACCATTGATGCCGTAAAAAAATCAGAAATTTTGAATACTTGTAAAATTGTTGAGTCCCTTTCCCCTCCAGAGCACACAAATATGTTTTTTTCTCTCGTATTGGCGCAATATGAGGCTAATAAGTTGATAGTAATTAAGCCGAAAATTTTTAAGCCGATAAGAAAGACAAAAATGAAGAAAAAAAATAACAAATCGAACTTGTAGAATTATACAAGCAAATTTCGATTGGGCCAAAATTTAAAATGCAAAAGGCAACTGCAGTGAAAATTGTTTGC